TAAATATGCACTTACCTTGTAGTTCTGTTAAGAAAAGTCTGATATCTTTTTAGCTAAAACCTGCCTATGCAGGTTGAATAACAGCTGAAGTATGGTTGTTTTAGTTAGCAAAAGGAGCATAAATTCATGGCATTAAGTCAATTAGTGAGGAGTGATTTATAATCCATGTAGTTCTGCAAAGCTTAAATGTGCAGACCTAAAATGAGCAGCTCTATTTTTTTATCTTCTTTTTCCCTAATTGGTTCACAGTTAAAATCATTGTACATTAAAACCGCATTTCCATCCAATATCTGATTAGACCTTAAAAAGCTTGTCAACTTCCACTATATTTGTAAATATTCTTTAAATATTTGTAAATAGTCTTTATTCAAATCCATAAAACTGTTTTATCATTTAGATCCCCGTGAGCGGTTAAAGGAGGACGACTTGGATGTTGTACTGAGTCCACAGCGACGGAGCTTTGGAGGTGGTTGTCAGGTCAATGCTGTATCCATGTCCAGTACCCGGCGCCCTATAAGCCCACTGGAAAATAAGGAAAATGAATCTCTTCGTCCGGGAGGCGCTCGCAGAATTGGCAGCGGGCGCATCATTGCTGCTCGGGCCTTTGAGAGAGAAGCTCGTGCAGAAAAAGACAGAGAGCGGGAGAGAGACTTCAAAGATAAGAGATTCAGGGTTGGTGCTACTCTTGCCTCTTTTTTTAGTCAGTCCATTTGCTCAAAGTATTGACCAGTCTCTTTTACCAGGCGATTTCCATGATCAGTTTGTGATAACTTTGCAATTATGCTTTAACTTTGTCACTTTGTCAACTTTGTCTATTTTGCAGAGAGATTTTGGTGACAAGCGTGTGTTTAGTGAAAGAAGAAGAAATGATTCTTACGCAGAAGAGGAGCCAGAATGGTTCTCAGCCGGTCCCACCAGCCAGTCTGAGACGATTGAGCTCATCGGATTTGACGATAAGATTTTGGAGGAGGACAAACGCAAAACGAAGCGTTCAAGAAAGCGAACAGACTCTGTGAAGGAAGGCATGTAAAAGCAGGGTTTTGTAAATCTTGGAACCATTTAGGAAATTGGATCTTTTAGCTTTAGTGCGACTTTCTTCTTCAATGTTTGTGTGCGCAGCAGTGGAATGTGATGGAGGAATACCTGAGGAGCAAGATGTGGCTTTGCAGTCTACAGCTGATCAAGAAGTTCCTCATCCAGATGTTCTTCCAGATCAGTCTGCTGGGGATTTTGACTTCAATGAATTCTTCAACTTAGAAAATATGCCAGGACTAGCCTCTGTAAGTACCGGGGTGCACTTCCTGTGTTCAAAGTCATGTCACAGCAGAGGTGTTTCTCCAACAACCTTGTTTGTTTTTTTTTTTTTTTCCCATTCTC